AGAGAGAGAGAGAGAGAGAGAGAGAGAGAGAGAGAGAGAGAGAGAGAGAGAGAGAGAGAGAGAGAGAGAGAGAGCAAGGAAAGAGATTCCTTGAAAGAGGGAGCCATTGTGGGGTTAGCAGGAAACCAGGCACTAGGGAAACTACCAGGAAACCACACGGATGATCCCAGCTAAGAATCTAAGCAATAGTGGAGAGGGTGCCTGAACTGCCCTTCCTCTGTAATCAGATTGATGACTACCTAAATTGTCATCATAGAACCTTCATCCAGTAATTCATAGAAGCAGATGCGGAGATCCACAGCCAAGCACTGGGCCCAACTCCTGGAGTCCAGTCATCAAGAGGGAGGAGCAAATTATGAGCAAAGAGGCCAAGACCGTGATGGGGATACCCACAGAAACAGCTGACTCAAGCTAGTGGGAGCTCCCTGATATCAGCAGAAGACCAAACTAGGTCCTCTGAATGTGGGTGACAGTTGTGTAGCATGGGCAGTTTGCGGGGCCACTGGCAGTGGAACCAGTATTTATCCCTAGTGCATGAACTGGCTCTTCGAAGTCCATTCCTTATGGAAGTCCATTCCTTATCCTTGCTCAGCCTAGATACAGCGGGGAAGAACCTTGGTCCTGCCTCACAAGTGATGTGATAGACTTTATTGACTTCCCCCATGGGAGGCCTCACCCTCTCTGAGGAGAGGATGCAGGGTGGGGTGGGGTGGGGAGAAGGTGGGAGGAGTGGGAGGATGGAAGTGAGAGGGAACTGGGATTGGTATGTAAAATAAAATTGTTTTAAAAATAAAAAAATAAAAGAATAGAGACAAGAAAAATAAAAATAGAGAAAAATGACTGGGACTGAGGGTAAGGAACAGGAGGCAGCGGTGGCGTAGGCCCAGGGACTTGTGGGACTGTCTCTTTCCATGACGTGGGTGTCTGTGCGGGGGCGGGGGCGGGGGCGGCGGCGGCGGCGGCGATGTTATTTCAGGCATGTCACATCAGCAGAATGACTTCTGTCCATTTCACACCACATTTAGAGTCACCAGGAGTTTAGTCTCATCTGTAAAATATGTGGAGTTTACCAGTTTCCACAGCCAAGAATTCTTTTCTGCCAGTGGGCAGTGAAGGTCCCTGGGTAGAACTGCAGCCAAGAAAAGCTTCCTGCAGAGTGCAGAAGTGCTGGGGGCCCTGGGTGTCTAGGCATCTGGGGAGGAAGCTGCAAACGTGACTGTTGACAAGCACTAGAGGACCCTGGTGGTTAATTCATACCGGGCCACCAGCAGGCAGGGTGAAGAAACCAAGAAGGAACCAGAGGCCCAGAGAACACTCTTCACTTCCTTCCCCATGGTGTTGAGGGCAAAGCCGATGCTGGAACCCTGCGCTCAAGCCTCATCCAGCGAGCTTCATCCCATCTATGCTGGGTAGCTTCTTACACTTGGGTAGACTGATACACTTAGTGTGAAGGTGTTCTTTGACACACGCCTGTGTATGTGTGTGTGTGTGTGTGTGTGTGTGTGTGTGTGAGAGAGAGAGAGAGAGAGAGAGAGAGAGAGAGAGAGAGAGAGAGAGAGATCTTCCTTCATCTCTTGTCTCCCTGCCACTTACTGACTTGTTCATGTCACGGGTGTTTACTGTTTCTGCTGTTTCTTCTGGCACTTCCCACTGACTCCAGTCACGGGCCTCACCTGGAAAGAAAGAGGAACCTCAAGACAGGAAGGGCTTAGAACTGCTTGTGTCCTGTCACGTGTTTGCTGTATACATGCTCACTGAGCACAGACAGGCTTGCTGTATATGTCCTCACTGAGCACAGGCTTACTGTATACATCCTCACTGAGCACAGACAGGCTTGCTGTATACATCCTCACTGAGCACAGACTTGCTGTACACATTCTCACTGAATACATGCTTGCTGTATACATCCTCACTGAGCATAGGCTTACTGTATACATCCTCACTGAGCACAGACTTGCTGCATACATCCTCACTGTGCTGGGCTGAGTGACTGTGGAATGTGGGATCCTTATCTTCTAAACTGCATCCTCGAGGAGGCAAACAATTTTGCATATGCGTCACAAGAAAAACATTTGGCTCAACCTAGTCTGGACTCACTCCAGAGAAGGCCAATTTGGAGAGCCTGGATGGGCAGTGCATGATTACAGGTAGGAGTCAGGACAAAATGGGGTTGTTCTATCTTTTACAACGAGGTGCACATAAGCTTGATGGGGCAAATGGGAAAGGCGGGCAGGAGTAGAGTGTGGGGATCCAGCTTGGCAAGCTGGGAAAGGTATTATATAATAACAAGAAATTCTGGAAAGGATGCCAAGCAAGAATTTGGAGAACAGAAATGCCCGTAAAGGTTGGTAAACATGAAGGTGTTTGCCCCTATAAAATATGTCATTTACGAAGTCAAAATTGTTCACCAATGTGTTTGTAAATAGATTCCTTGGGGAGTGGGATTTCAGGATAAGTACACGAAGCCTTGCCAACAGGCGGTTAAGAGATGGCTGCCTGAGGTCCATTCTAGTAACATGCAGAGAAAGGTCAGGGAAATATGGAAGGCATCTGCATGGGGTGACGGAGGCATCAAAAAGAAATAGCTAATCTACTTAAGAAGATATGGGAGGCAGTGCTGAGGATGGGGTCGGAAAGGGTGGAAGATGTTAGACTCAAAGACCAAGAGGAAATGGGTGCTCTGTACTTCGAGAAAGCAAAAGTCAAGAGTTTGACCATTTGTGTTCTGGGCCTTCCCAGCAAAAGAAAGCGAGGCTGCGAGGAGAGGGCCGGGAGAAAGTCTCCAAATAGCCTGTGTGGACTGGAGACACAGTGAGTGAGTTCTTGTCTTTTCTTTTTTTGTTTTGGTGTGTGTGTTTCCCTTCAGACAAGAGGGAAGCAAGCATCCCCAAGGTAGTAGGTGCTCTCCATTGGAACAGAGCATTGGGGAAGGACACAAGGAGAATAATCTCTTGTGAGGGGCCACATCCCAGGTGCCGCTGGTGTCTCGC